GGGTAATGTGCAAACAAAGCTGACAATTTTCTGCCGACTTTGTGCAAACACTGAACAGTCCACAGTTGGCAGAAGCATCTCTCATTTGTGCTCAGAGTGGGATGGAGTATATGGCGACGGGACTTGCATCTACAGATCGCCTTCAGCTGTCAGTTGGATGGTGAGGGGCTCTGGCTCCAGTGCACTCCGTCACCCCCTTTGGCTGTTTCTTCCACTGTCTCGAGTGACCGACTAACAGCTCTCTCTCTTTCTCTTCTCATTGCAGGATGATGATGGGCCGGTTTGGTGAGTAACCCAGATGTGGGGAAGTGTGGGGTGGCCCAGCGAGCTGGGGAGGTCCTGGGGAGCTACCAGGTCCTGCAAGGGGAGCAGGACCCAGGACTGGTTTTGTTGTCTCTCATCGTTCTGGAATCTTCTATGTTGTTTCATGTTGTTTCTCTGAGCCATGAGAGCCTGGGTGGAGATGGGAAGATGAGAGGGCACAGTCAGTGCTGTGAAATGAGAACCTCACTGATTCTCCTCATGGTGGGGATGAGGCCGGGGTGGGAACTAGGGTGAAAGGCAGGGAGGATCTTGTGGCTTGAACGTGGCGTGATCTAGTTTAGGGGATGAGCCCTTGTAGCCCAGTGGTGAAGCATTGAGCCGCTAACTGAAAGGTCAGCAGTTCAAACCCACCAGCTCTGTGGAAGGAAGATGTGGCATTCTACCCCCACAAAGATGACAGCCTTGGGCTTGTGGTAGTTCTGCCTTGTTTTACTTTCATACTTACATTTTCCACCATAAACTCTCAAGCTTACCAGTCCTCCAGACCCAGCTGGGTGACCCTGGAAGTGTTGTTTCTCCTCTCTAGTCTGAGCTGCTTCCCTACGAAATGGCCCCGTCAGAGTTCTTACCTTGGGGTCGCTAAGGGGATCGAATGAGATAAATGTGGGCTCTGCTTGGCACGAGACCTGGCACACTCAGATGCTAACTGAAAGGTTGGAGGTTCCAGTCCACCTTAGAAGAAAAGCCTGGGCGCCATTTCCAAAAGCACAGCCATTGAAAACTTGAGGGAGCACAGGTCTGCTGTGAAA